GATTTGAAAGGTTTTTCTTTATCATTCTACAAGATAAAAAGCTGTGTTTCCACTTCACTTGGCCTTATCTAGGCGAGGCCAGGCAGAGCGTGTCTTTCTCCTCTGTGCTCCTGATTGCGTGATCTGTCAGGCTGTAAAGTGCCTGTCTGTCTGTTTGTGGGTCACTCAGTCAGCACACTAGTCCACTTAAACTACTGGGTGAAGGGAAATGCCTCTGCTTTATGGGGGACAGAAGAATACTCCAGCTGCCATGACCTGCATGTGTGTGTGTGTATTTGTGGGAATGTGTGTGTGTCTATTTTCATCCCTTAAAAGTTTCTTTGCACTGCTGACTCGGGCCACTTTATTTCTTTCTGACTGCAGGAAAAACAGTTTTCAATGTTCTCCCGGGGGAAGTCTTGGGAAATAATAAATAAATCAGTAAGCAGAAGAGGCATTTCCAGTCCAGGAGCCAGATACATAAAACTTAACTCAGATTCAAGGCTAAGTATGTATGAATCTTTAACAAAGATTCAGTGCCGTGCATCTGTATTTATTGAGGTTCAGTGCCATTGATTTTAGGTCTAAGAACAGATGCGGGTCAACGATAAAGCATAAAGCATTAAAACACATGTTCCTTCAGGTATGGACGGAATATCAGATAAATAAAATGAAGCATAGGAAGTAATTATAAGTCTCATGACTCTGTCATCATTATTCCACAGCTTTCAAGGGTTTTGCTTCACAATGTGCTCGTATGTGGTTTGCATGGAACATTTCAAAATAAGGTCAGAATAATATGATCATAATTATTAGTCTGTATTCCAATTTAAACAGCTAAACCCCCTATGAAGTATAATTTTGGGATTTTTCACAAACCTGATGCAAATACCAGAACACAGAGAAGACAATATGGAAAGAAAAGCAGACAGGAGAGGAGAAAAGATAACCTCTTTTGTTTGGTTTAGTTAATTCCAGGTTAGCTGGTTGGTGTTTTCACTCGTATTGTTTGTTAATTAATGACTATCATGACAAATCCCCTGAGCCGAGCAGAGTGGGCTGACAGGCCTGGACGCTCCCATGTCTAATCTCATCTGGGGCCCTCATCCCTGTTCGCCTTAACTTCAGCTGCTTCCAATTTGGGCTCAGCACTTGTGCGCTGTCCATTTGCATAACTATGAATATCAGCTGCTGTGGACTTTTCTGCAAGCTGGCTGCAGCCTGCCTGGCTGTATGTACGCGATTTATGTGTCTTCCTAGATCTTGTCTCCAGAGTGCGTGAATGCAGCTAAATCTGACATCAAATTTGTTTTTTGTGAATGAACTGGAGCAGGCGAGAACAGCATGTGAATAACACCTGCTGACGCAAACACAGGGGAACCCAGGAATGCGACCGGAAAGAAAAAAAAAAAAAGAAGAGGAGGAGAGCTGAATGAAAAGGTGACTCTCTGTGTTGTCGCTGTGTGATAGCTGCTGCTCTGTGTGGTCTCACAGGGTGGGAGTGGAGGTCACCTGCTCTCGCTCTCAGCTCCCTCCCCTCTGACTAAAGCCTGCTGCCATTAAAGCAGCTAATCACAGTGAACAGCTGCATCCCTCACTGTACAAATCCTCGACGCCTCGCCCTCCCACCCACACACCGACTCTGGCAGTCAGACAGACACATACGCTGGCGTCCACGCACTCCCACTCTTCCTTTGCTAATGGCAAGCTGCAGCCGACTGATGTTTAAAGCACGGGGTTTAGCGTGTAGGCCTGTGATAAGCCGCGCTGAGCTGTGAAAACACAGATTACATTTCTGCGGCTTATTACAGACAGCGTACTTCTGCCTCGCAGCCGTATCGTAATTGCGACCCAAAAACCGCAGCCTCCGCTTGGCTGCGAAATACAGCTTGATGGGGACCCCCGCGGCAGAGCTTTGACAGCCGTGCTAATTCAAGTCTACATTCCCCCATATGTTTTGCTGCACGGCGGCCTCCTCCCGCGATAAGCTGCAGCCATTTTTCTTTTAAGTGCTTTCCCCAATAAATCAAATCAGGTCTGAAATATCAACTGCTGTCTCTTAGTGTCATCTTCACACTTTAAAGACTCCATCACAATTAGCAGACGGCGGGACAAAGTCAAAATACCTCCGAATATTAGCGATATCCACGACTGCTGAGTGTGCAATAAGCCGTCACCGCTGCACTGGATGTCGACACAATCTGTACGGGCTCTAATGTAATAATGCTGCTTTTAGCGGATAAATTTGATATCCTCACATCACAAAATTGCCTCCAAATGAGGTGTAATTTTGATATTTGTGTTTGATGTAGCATAGGTTGGGATATCCCGACTGAAAACAAGCATTTACTTACTTGGAATGCCAAAGCCAACCAGGCATACATTAAATCCCTGTTTCTGGCAGGCTATGAAAGTGCCTCCATCTGCAAATGCTTAGCCTTTTTTCTCAGGCTCAATCAGAGATAAAGACCATTGTGTTCCAGGTCCAGAAGTAAGACAATATCTCCCAAACCTCATAGAAAACAATTAGGACCCAGTAATTACACCACTGGCCTGGAATTCAACCCAAGTCCTGAGGTTGGGGTGAGGAAGTAAGAAAAGAGAGCGAATGTGAAAGGTGCCTGTCTGATGCAGTGTTATCTTACTTCACTTGGACTCTGATGGAGTACGTTTGTTTATCAGCGTGGGTGTGATGTAATGTTTTGCTTTTGGAGCCCTTCACTCTGAACGCGATAGGCCTGAAATCTTCACGTGTACGACTTGATGACAGCATGCCGTGATCTCTCCTCATTATGATCTCTCATTTATCTCCGCTCTCTGCAGAAACCGCTGCTTTGGCTTTGGAAACGCACAATCCAGAACTCAAACAGAGATATGTTATCTTTATTACGGGCCGGACCTGTTGATTTACATATGTTGACCAATCGGCTGGCAAGCGGAGGGGTGAGAACGGAAAGACACAAGAGAAAACAAGTCTCTCATCCCCAGTTAAAACCCAACCGTATCACTGACAGTGCTCTCAGCCCAATGGACTTCTTTTCTTCTCTTGAACCTTAAAGCAGCCCCGGGGTCCTGCTGGTTTGGACATTGTTGAGATCTGCTGTAATGCAGGCCGGCCCTGGGAGTCAGACATGGCCAGAGGCTTTTTGGGGTGGTCTGGTGAGAGAATAGTGGCAGTACGAGCGGGGCAGCATGAGCAAATGAGCGGATCATACACATTTTCCACAGTCTGTGAAAAGCAGACAAGCTGAGGAAAAGCGACGACGGGAGCGAAGGTATATAACTCAAACTAAAACTCTAGAAGAGGCCTTTACAGACGTACACATCCTGGTTGCTGTTTATGAGATCAAAAGCAGTATGTTTGCAATGCCTAACCTAAAGAGCGAATTTCAAAAAGTGCAACGCGATGAGAGTTGTTTGGTCTTTTATATAACAGAAGCGCTTCATTTACTGAGTCGGTTTAATTCAGCCTAACTCAAAGTCAAACAAGTGCTCAAAGCCATCTGGAAATCCACAAAGAGACGTGGAGAGATTTGCAGATGGAGTCGCACACAGGTATTAAGAGCCTGGATTTGAAACTTGCACCCACTGAACTACGAGTGCAGCTTTAACTTCACTTGGCAACGCTATGGTAACAGATTTAAGCACAATCCGGTCTCCAGCTTTGCCCGTGTGGCAAGCTTTTATTTCTCCTTAAAGCGGCGAATGAGGCAGACAGCAGCGGGGTATCAGGTTCTGCGCTGGCAAGGGGTTCTGCTCACGCGGCAGGAGCAGAACAAAGCGCCGGTGGCCCTGGATAGCATCCATGGTGCCGGAGAGTAAAGGCCCTGTGAATGGGACCTGTCACTTCCACTCAGCACCGCCTGTGATCTGAGCCACCCGGAACGACGCTCAGATAAGTGGCTAATCCCAGCATCCCCGCTGGCTCGACAGCCCCCTACTGCCATGACAACCGGAGGGGAATCTCCTCCAGCAACAACTTAATTGGATAATTTCCTCCCTGTTTCACTGTGTGTTCCTCTGCTTTTGTTAAGTAAAGTCTGCGCTGTCTGACTGCGAATGTGTTTTTGACTTTGAGAGCGGGGAGGGTCGTGATATTCGGGCAGTTTTTTTTTTTGATGCGTGCAAGTGCAAGCGAGCGGGCGGAGTGGAGAAATGAGTCCAGCTGAAGCTTCGCTGTAGCAAACTAACAGGCCACCGGGACGGCCGAGAGCTGTTCACCTGGGAGTGGGAAAAAAGAAAAACACCCTCCTCTCTTTTCAGCACCACAAAAAAGTGACCACTTTAGCCACTGTAAACATTTATTGTCCTTTGTGTTGCACAGCCCGACCATTTATGTTACACCCAGTCAAGTCCTGGGTCCCGGCATAAACACACACTCCACCCTTCTCCCCAGACTGCAGAGACCTGAGGACCAGTGCCAGGGGAAGTCATTATACACTGGGACTATGTGTGTGTGTGTGTGTGTTTTTGCGTGCGGTGGGCAGCTACCGTAGTCGAAAAATGAAAACAGCAGTGCTTGCATGGCACATTAAGAGGATCAAGACTTGGTTCCAGCGGGACCATAAAACTGAAAACCACAGAAAAGAATAAACCCTTGCGTGGTACAATGACTGTTGGAATGAAGACATTAAAAGTGATTAATAAAGTGGAGGTATCTGACTCACCCAGAAAAAGGCAGAGAGATCTTATTTCTTAACTTCATTTAGAAGACAGGAGCAGTCTTATGTAATCCTAATGGAAATCACTCCTGTTTTCAAACTATTACTCGCACAAGTACACTGGAAGGCGCGCACAGTTGCCTTAATACGGCGAAGCAGAGCGATGCGGATGGTGACAAGTGAGTCAGCTCGAAGACATGAAGAAAAATAAAGAAACGGGTGGCAAAGAGAAACCTGACAGAAGTCAAACTTGTCGGTGGTTTCTCTAAACTGTTTCTCAGTCCAACATTGCGATGTCGGTCCCATCCAGGAGTTGTATAATCAATGTGACTGCGAGTCCCCGCTTCAGTCTTGACTCACCTTCTTCACAGGCGGCACCGCTGAATCCTGGGCAGCATTTCCACTCCAGAGACGTCACAGTGCGATACACCACTTTATAGGAAGGTCTGACCACCGTCCTGTAGCTGCAAAAACACACACACAAAGTCTGAAACCATCACATGCACACAGACAGCAACAGCTGTGACTGTGATGATGACCTCTCAGACACAGTGCAAGATAATCGAATAATCGTTAATCTGTGTTATTTAATGAGCTATTTTCTGTCATTTTTAACTGGTATAACATGGTTTCTAATTGCATTTGCACAACCTGTCACATTTGCTTCATTCATTTCCCAGATTGCCTTTTGTCTGAGATTTTTCAGGTGTTTCTCATTTAGAACGTCACATGTGGAGCTGCTGCAAAAGATAATGATCTCTTCTGATTTTAGGGGGATTAACTGGCAGATTTTATACGAGATTTCTCTCTGAATGAAAGAAAAGTAAAGCCAGACTTCATTTCGACACATGGGAGTGTTCAACCATGATTAACACCACTGCTAGCCTTGTGGCCACATTCAGAACATCTCTGAATTAAAGAGCCCATATGATGCACATTTACAGTTTTTTCATTTTATTTTTGAGGGTTTATCCGAATATGTTGCCTTCTTTTGTGTTTTTATCAAACTGTACACTGCTGAAGGAACCACGTCTGTTTGACGCGCTCAGTTTTAGCGCCTGTCTCTTTAAGGCTCCTCTCCTTAAAAGTCCAGTCTGCTCTAATTGGTCAGCTGGCTTGAATATTAGTAATATTATGCTCTGTAACTACAGATCGGATCAGAAAGGCTAAACCGTAGAGGAACCGATTCTAGTGAGAAAATACTGCAAGGAAGCAGTTCATTCTTTATTTCAGGGTGTACGAAACTAGCCACTTAGATGTTATGCAAATGTGTTACATCGTGATGTAGATAAGCGACAAAAGATGAGCCTGAACTCTAAACGAGGTGTTTAAGGCCGGTAAGGAGCAGAGTTTTCTGAGGGAGAGAATATTCCCTTTGGCATGGACTTTGTAAGCTTGCAGACATTTTACATGCACAAAAAGCTGCAACACATTAAAGGAAAAGAGAAAGAAAAAAACTCAAAAAGCTTATTAAGGGCTCTTTAAAATTAAAAATCAGAGGCTGAAGTGAAAGCTTTTCCTCTTTGCTTGATGTGAGGCTAAATCCGGCCTAAATAATACGAAGTGAGTCCAAAAAAACAAGACACATGACTCTAAAACACTGGTTTTGGAAAGACTAAAGTTTTCCTGCTATTGAATTCCACTACAGATAAGATCTAAACAACAAGCAAACTTCCAGTTCTTCTCTTTAAAGGGCTCATAACAGCATGGTGCAATGCAACGGTAAAGTCCCTTTGCCTCCTCACCTGCCTCCTGTACATCCCTGCGGCCAGCGGCACGTCTGGTAGACTCGCTGGAGGACCGTCCCATTCTGCACCTGGCAGGTCACCGTCTTGGTGACTGTATGAGGACACCAGTTCCTGGAGGGAGGAACAAGGGCGAATGAAAGTCAGAAACACAGAACACAACAGCACCATCGCTCTGATGTGTTATCTTTAGACACAGAAGAAAATCACATCCTCAAAGTAAACGAGGAACCACAGTTTATATTTTCAACCTTCAAACATGGTGGCACGCTCACAAAAACAAATTAGCCACGCAGTCACATTCAGGACGCTGTGGTCTTCCCGCGGGTTCTGATTCCTGCCTCCCCTCCCCCACCCTTTTGTTTTGAAACTTCCTTATGGTGTTTACATGGTTTTAATCAGCCGCGAGATTTGCAGGAGTGCATTGTGGGCTGCGTATTTACTCTGAGGTCTCTCCTCTATCAATACACATCCGTTTGCATGCGGCTCTCAGAGGAGGTGAAGTCCCTCAGGAGGGAATAAAGAGGAAGACCAGGTCCCATACAAAGATGAGGGTTTCTCAGCGCGGGTTAATGCTGGGTCAGGAGTTCACTCCTTTTCCAGAGAGGCTTCGTAGGACATTATCAGGAACCACTGAGGCTGTTAGGAAACTGACCTGTGAGGGGGGGGAAAAGCTCAGAGGTTAAGATCTGATTGTGAAGGAATTAGAGCCGTTATTTCTTCGCCCTCCAGAAGCAAAATGGTAATATGTTCAAATATCTCAGTATAACTCAATAGAAGTCCCTGAATTATGTAAAGGGTGATTCATTTGAGGAGTCTGAGAGCTAATAGGTTTATTTTAATCCCAAATGAGAGCTCAAATAGCCTTTGAAGAGGAGCTGATATCTGTCCTTGAAAGCACAGAGACCAGAAGAAATGTTCCATGTTCATCTCATCCAGCTTATCAAATCATGAAAACACCGAACTCTTGGCTTCATGTGAAAAACAGACTGAGGCTGCTGAGCTGCCACATGTTCCCATTATTTCATCAACGCTGAAGAGTACAAATACTTTCATTACCTTCACACGGCTGCAAGACAAACACACTTACAATAACCCGCGTTCACACAATCAATAGATGGACAGAAAGAAGGCTCACAAAGGAAAGTGTGTGGCTCGTAGCACAGAACTACACTTTGTGTGTTCTGCTGCCAGTGTGTTTGCAGGAGTGGGAGGGTGTTTCCCACCAAAGTCTGTTTGTCAATATGGGAGGCCATATGTTTGTGTGCATCAGAGACAGTTTAAAGGAAACCGCCAAAGGCAGAGGATGCAAAGCAGCCCTGAACCGGCTCCCATTAACAAGCCCCACATGTTGTGGTGGCCGCACACAGACCTGAGCCGGCGAGCAGGGGCACCTAGGATAAATGTTTGTGTACTACTGCACAGATTAGTTTTTTTTTCATGAGATTGTCTCTTGTGGATTTTTGTTTAAATCCATAGTGTTTAAATCAAATCTTTTTCTATTCATGTAATGATCACTTCACCTACTGAACATTTTGAGAAAAGACACTTTGCCAGGTTGAATTAAAAAAAAGTTCTGTAAATCTGAAACACATGCCAGAAAGTACGACACAGTTCTAATCAATCCTAACCTTCTCAAGTAAAGTGAGTAAAAGAATTAATCCACCACATGTTTTTTAAATCCACCCTTCCCGTATCTCACTATATCCATCAGCTGTGAGGCTACAGACATGAACATGGATCTATATGATTACTCTATGATTGCTTTCCCTGGTCCAGAAAAATTGCTCTAATCACTGGTGGAAAATTTCAGACATTGACGGAGCTGTGGTCAGGTAGAGCTGGGAGTCGGGGGGGGAGGCGGGAGACTTAACCCCATCGCCTCCCCGCCACTTATCCTCCAGACCCAACAGATAAACATCTGAGTTTCCCAGGCTGAGAGGAGGCTTCACCTGGGAACAGCTAAGATTGTCACCAGGGGGTACGAGGAGGGAAGTGGGGGTGGGTTTTACGGTCTCCCCTTCTCTCTTTGCATTGCACTTATGCAATTACCAAAGAGGAAATGCCGACCGCTGCTGCTTTAGTGAATGAAATAACAAAAGCAGTCGGCATAGCAGAGTTTACAATCTTTTAAAAGGGCTCCACAACCGATACCTGCGTTACCTAAAGCAGCACAAGGCAAGCAAGAAAAATACTCTCTCCACTGAGGATGAACTCGTTTAACGCCTGAAGATTATTCTATAACCTGGACACACGTATATCATTATCTCCTCGTCTGCTGACAGGAATATAACTTTTGCGGCTGAGACCGACTCTATATATATACAGAAAGGACACAGGTGCTCGGTGCACTCAGTCTGACATTCCCAAATGTTTCATAGTCAACACCTTCCTCTTACTGGAGGCACCCTTGTGTTATGAAGTGTGAAACCCACCAGCACCATGCTGTTTCACTGGCAAAAACACCAAGCAGGCCCTCAGTGAGTATCGGGTCTCTAAGCACACATGGCACACTCTGAATGCTGGGCCCAAGCTAAATAAATCATCAACCATCTTTCACAGTCACACGCAGCCACAGCCAACCGTTAAGAAAGAAATCCACAATTTTTAAGGGAAGGGAAAAAAATCTGAGCTTTGGCCCATCTGTTCCTAAACCCTACAGACGCCAACAGTAAAACATCGGAGGGAAACCAAAGAAAAAAAGTGCTGAAGTCTTAAATGTATGCAAATGCTGAGAGGAAGCTGGTGAACTTGTCAGAGGAGCTTATATGCTGTATTCTAGCTCCAGCGTGTGCCCTCATATCACCTCGTACGCTATACGGTCTGCATCTTTCATGACCGGACTGCTGACTTGGTGCATTTGCAGCAGCAGACTGCGTGGGGAGGAAGACGCTGGGAAGTTTAAGCCGTGTGAACTGACAAGAGGGTTGATGAGGGCTGATGAGGCTCTGGTGAAAAACATCTCAGTAACTCCCTTTTCCATCCATTCGCTCGCAGTGGGAGGAGGAAGGCCGAACACTCCGAGATATGTTTGAGATGCAGCGAGGATAGAAATCTGAAGGAATTTCTCTAGATTTCTGTCTGTGGGAAAATGCTCGGGGAGAACAAAGGACAAAAGACAGATGTGGCAAACGGCCAGAGGAGAGGAGAGGAGAGGAGAGGAGAGGAGAGGAGAGGAGAAGAAAGGAGAGAAGAGAAGAGAAGAGAAGAGGAGAGGAGGAGGAGAAGAAAGGAGAGGAGAGGA